CCGTGGCTTTCTAAAGAAGGTGAACTCAGGCGCCGTCCTCACTTGGAGCCTCTCAGGTCTTTCTCGTGGGATGGCCCCTTCCATTTACTGCACTTGCTGTATGTCCATGTAGGGGGGTTGTGTTTCTTTTCCTTATGGATTTTAGTGAGTAAACCCGCTCAGATTGGCCAATAACATCGAGGTCTGAAGGCACCTGTCCTCAGGAGCTCCACAGTGCTGGACTCCACTGCCTCTTGTTCCCCTCATCTTCCTGGGCCCTGTGGGTGTGGGCAGCAGTGAGTGGCTGAGATGTGTCCCTTGTTGGAAATGCTGACTCTCATGGTCGTCTCTGGTGGTCTTCATAACTTTTCCTTTGCAAACATCTGCAGTCTTGCTCCTACTCTGGTCTTTAAGCCTTGTTTCAACTAATCCTAGAGTGAAGAATCCATGAGCATTCTCATGCATCCCGAGATGGTTGCTGTCTCCTTAATCTAGTTTTTAAAAGGCAGGTCAGCCATAACTAATATCAGCACCTAGGTTTTTACTCCCCTTCTCTGCTCTTGGAATCTGTGGGTCATCCAGACGGTATGGAAAGCTCAACAACACCTGCAACATGCAAAGGGTGGGGTCCTTTGTGCTCTAAATTCACAGCTGTGAGTCCTTTCAGAGGCGCCTTGGTTCATGGCCAGGGCCAGTTCAGCACCCACTCCCTTCTCCAGTACATCCTTGGTGCAGCAGGAAACACATCCTCCAGGCACACCTTCCTCAGGGCACTCACAGGCCTGCCTCGTGGGCCTGCGAGGCTTGGAGTCCTGAGCCAAGGCCCCAACCCGGTGTCCCTGCCACAGTGCCGTGTGTGCATTTGAAGAGGCCAAGCGTGTGGAGGGCTCCACTGTGCAGCCTGAGAGCAAGACAGATTGATGGCCTCGCTGGGCAGGACCCGGAGGCCAAGGATGCTGTCAGACCCTAGGGGACATCTGGGGACACTTGGCTGGCTTTGGGCAGAAGGCCACCAGTGGAAAGCAGGCACTCAGAAGGCAGTGTGATTCAGGACCCAGGCAGAGCTGAGCAAGAGCCTCTCCCGGAGACCTCTTCCTTTAAAGTAAGTCTCCAGGGGCACTCTGGCTGTGGGTAAGGCAGTCATTCCGTGTTCTTGACACTTTTTAAAAGCTTGTGTGGTTTTCCTGAAAGCTGCCACTGGCATTCAAAGTGGAACAATCTGTTGTGGAAGGCTGCATTATGGCAGCTGGGGTGTAGTGCCTGCCCGCACCACTGTCCGTGCTGCCCGCTGCCCTGGGAACACTGGGACCTGTCTTCTCATCAAGCTTCCCAGGTGCCTTGGAACACAGCACCAAGCACAGACCCCGTGGTATCTATGACCGGTACTGAAGTCGCCCAGTTTAATTGTTGGGGTCTTTCTGCCCCTTTATGTCAAGTAGTGTTCATTTTATGAAATCAAACGTGCCTACGTTAGGTGCATACAGTGGCACCTTGGCTCATGAACTTAATTTGTTCCATGATTCTGGGGAAGATGGCCATGGTCGTGTGAGTCACCCTATATGGAGTTCACAAATGGAAGCACAATTTTGCTGAATGCTTCCATTTGCAAACCGAACTGATCACAGAATCGTCCATGAACCACGCTAGTACTATATTCGCTTGACATCTCTTCTTGGTGAATTGTCCCTTTTACCAATTTATAGCAGGCTCATTTGTCCCTTCTAGTTTTAATTTGAAATCTATTTTGTCAAATTTAGTTACAGCTATTACTGCTTGCTTTTGAGCTCCAGCTGCTTGGAGAATCATTTTCCAGCTTTTCACTCTCAGTCTATGTATGTCTTTCACTGAGGTGTGTTTCTTGCAGGCAAAATACAGTTAAGTCTTTTTTTTTTTACTTCTAATCTAATCTGCCAGTCTGTGTCTTAATTGGAGAATCAAGACCATTTACATTAAGTGTGATTATTGAAATGTGTATACTAATTCCTGTCATTTTGCTGTACTATTAGTGTTTAATTCAGTGTGATTCTCATTTGTTTATCTGCTGTCTTGGTAAGACTTATTCTTCCCCTTGGTCTTGTGGTCATGATTGTCTTCTCCTTCAAGTTTCCTATTCCCTTGAGGACCTTCTCCAATGCTGGGTCACTGGTGGATTTCTTATCTTGAATGGTCTTTATTTCTCTTTCTGTTTTGAAGGATAACCTAAACATAATAATCTAGGTTGGATTTGAAGTACCTCATTCTAAGCATCCCTGAGCTTTTCAGAGTTTCTGTTGAGAAATCTGTTGTTGTTTTATTGGGTTTGCCTTCATCAGATACATGATTCAGTATTTCTCTTTAACAGCTTTTAATGTTCTTTCTTTGTTCTGAATTTTTGGCATTTTGAGTAATACATTGTGGTGAGGTTCTTTTCTGTCATGTCTATCTGGGTTTCTAAACGCATTTATTTCCTGATATATCCATCCTACACCCCAGATTTGGGAAACTCTTTGCTATAATTTCAGTGAATATTTGTTAGCCTGTACTTCACAATCTTTGAGGCCAGTGACGGTTGTTTGTTTGTTTCTTTCTTTTTGGTACTGGGGATTGAACTCGGGACCTTGCACTTTCAAGGCAGGCGGCAGAACCACTGAGCTAAATCCCTGGCCCTCAATGAGTTTTAAATTTTTTCTTTTATAGTTGTCCAAGAACTCTTATCATTCCTTCTTATTTTTTTTCCCTTTATCACTACTGAATGTTTTAGTACACCTACCTTTTTCAAGCTTTGATATTATTTTTTCTGATTCACCTATCCCCCTGCTGAAACCTCCAATTGAGGTTTTTTATTGATTTCCAGGATTTCTGTTTATGTTCTCTTTGACGTGCTCTGTCTCTTCACTGGAGTGGCCTTTTGTGTCCTTTATCGTCTTCTTCATGCCTCCCGCTGCTTATCTCTGTCTTCTGTGGGCTGATTGATCATTTTAATAATTGATTCATTTTGATGCTTCTTTGTATCATCTTTGATCCCAGAGATCATTTTGATTGTGGGTTTTTAAAATTCTTTGAAGTTATATCCACTTTGATATCTGTGGAACCAGTTTTGTGGGAGTTTAAGTTTTGGGGCCATTTTGTTGTTTTGTTTCCTCATGATTCTTGTGGCTTTGGGTTGAAGTTTGCAGATCAGCTGACATGGGTATCTATCTTAGTTAAGGTCTGCTGAGTAAGGGACTCTCTTTGTGGCCATGTCTCAGTGTGAAAGCACTTACTCAACCCTTTGCAAAGTCCTAGGGTTCAAACCCTGGCCGAACTTTTCGAGGAGAGCACCAGCCACCAGCAGTGTCCACATGTTGAGGACCAACTATATAGATGTATGACTAAAAACTCATTTTGAAAGTTCTCTACTACTCCACCTGCCCAGTAAAAGAAAAGGAGGGCAATAATGTATGACAGGCTAAAAAGGAAAACCAAACATAAAACAGGCATTGATGGTAATATTTATATATAAGAAATGAGGAGGGAGGAGAGGTTTGAGGCCGTATGAGAGGAGAAGGGTTAGGAATATAAATGGAAAGTAAGAGACTAGCTAGGAAGATTAAATCAAATTAATGAAAGTTCAAAGGTAGAAAATTCTGTGGAACAACCATTGATGTGAGAAAGCACACACACACACACACACACACACACACACACACACACACACACACACACACACACTGTAAAACCAGGTCTCATATTCTTCCTCATGAGAGTGTTTGTACTGGAGATGATGAATGATTCCCTTGTTGGGCACTGCCTGGTAGAAGCGAGTGTGTGAGTTTGGTTTTAGTTCCGAGCCCTCCACCCCACAGCCTCTGTCCCCTGGGGAAGCTGCTGGCCATCTGGAGCCGGACTTCTCCCCTCCCTGGTTGTAGGCAGTGCTACTGTGAGGCTATTGGCACGGGGACTGGCTACTACCCTGTCTTAAGTGTTCCCTCCCTGGGAATAACAGTGTGAGAGCGTGTGGGCTGTCCGCCAAGCCTCTGCCACGTGTAGTCGCTGGGCAGGTCCAGCTGATGGGCCAACATTCCCCAAATCACGAGCTGCTGGCTGCTGGTGCGTTCACCCTGGGTGGCTCCAGGCCCAGCGTGCAGAGCCTTCAATGGGAATCCAGCAGCCTGCAGCCTTCTTCTGGTCTCTGCAGCTGCACCCACCGACTTGGACTCCCTCAAAGCCTCAGGCACTGAGTTCTTTTGCTGTCACAGTGTTCAAACCGTCCCTGTTTTTTGCCTCCCCTCCCGTTTTTGTTTCTGTTTTTGACATTGCCCACTCCCTGGCAGGTTGTGCTGGCTGCTGTCATGCTGAGACTTTCCTAGCCTGGGCCGGGTCTCCGGTGAACCAGCTCCAGGCTTCCCCAGCCTGTGACTTGGCTTTTTTTTGCCTCCCAACCCCACGCTGGGCCCACGCTGACTCCTGGGAAGAGTGCCCACTGCCTCCCTGTGAGATGTAGCGGTGTCATCCTGGAGATATCCAGAGCATGCATTTCTGCTGTCCCCCAGCTTTCTAAAGGCCAGTGTCTCTAGGTTTCCACTGCCTGCTCAAGTTGTGGTCCAGCAAACGTCCGAGGCTTCCCTCCCCTTATGGAGCCGTGTGCCTGTGGGTGAGGATGAATGTCCTGGCAGGACTGTGAGTCTCTGGCCCTCCGACCGAGACCTGCTCTCCCTGGTTAACAGACTCATGCTCTTTCAGCTTTTACCCCGGAGGTGACAGGACTTCCGGCCTCTGTCTAACTGTTCACCATGCACTGTGTCGCTGGGATGGACTGGGCTGTAGACCAGGATCTAGTTGGCTCCAGCAGAAGGAAATGTCCCCCTGGTCACAGGGAGGGCAGCCTGGTACTGCTGCCTCCCAGACACTGTCCCTCTGGGTGGCAGGGCTTTGGCATGAGAATTTGGGGGACACAGCTCAGTCCGCAGTGGCGGTCATCGCTCTCTCAGGCAGGTCAGTGAGTACTTGCAGCAACCCTGGTCTGTGTCCCTGTTGATTCATGGCATTTCCGTTCCTCTCAGCGTCATGTGGGAGCCGATGGGAGATGGGAAGAAAGTCATTTCTCTGGCCGATAACCACATTCTGCTCTGGGACCTCCAGGAAAGCTCCAGCCAGGCCGTGGTAAGCAGAACAGTGGCAGGGATGGAGAGGGTTGCTTTTGGAATTGGACCTTGGGGTGAAACTCAGAATATGGTTCTTGATTTGCATATGTTAATGGGTCCCCCACAAAGGCAGGGAGCCCTGTGAGATACTGCACAGGCCTAGCTGACAACTCCACTCGTCCTGGCTTATCCAAGGAGCTTTTCTCACTTAGAAGTCTATTTTTAATGATTATTTTTTCCAGCACTGGGGATTGAACTCAGGGCTTTTGCTCTGAGCTGCATCCCCAGCCCTTTTTATTATTTTTATTTTGAGACAGGGTCTCACTAAGTTGCTAAGTTGTCCAGGCTGGGCTTGAACTTGCAATCCTCCTGCCTCAGCCTCCCAAGGTGCTGGAATTATAGGCATGCAACACCATGCATGGCTTCATGATAAGTGGCTTTTTAACCACTTAACAGTTTACCGCAGCATCACTCAGGCAGGTGTCTCTTCAACCAGTTGATTCTTGTATTGAATACATTTGATAAAAATCTTCATTTTTTTATTTCCTGTCATTATCTTATAAAATTGGCAAAAAAATATGGAAATTTTGGTCATCCTGTATTTAAATAATTGGACCAGTAAGTGGTTAATGTATATTTTGCCAATATCACACTTTGAAGTAGGAGCACTTAGAAAATATTAACTTTATAATATCAGCTAGCTTTTTAATGTATTTGTCTGAGTAATAAAAATAATATATTCATCATTTTGAATATTTTGTCTTCCATAGGATAAATACTGCTATGTGTTTTTGAGTCCTTAAAATTTTCTTTTTTACTTTGATTTTTGTTTGTTTGTTTGTTTTTGTTTTTGTTTTTTTTTTGAGACAGGGTTTCACTGTGTAGTTGAGACTGCTCTGGAACTCACTATGTAGCCCATGCTGGTCTCAAACTCACAGCAATCCTCCTGCCTGGCCTCCCGAGTACTGAGATTACAGGCGTGCACCACCATGCCTGGCTCTTTTACTTTGATTTTTGAAACAGGATCTCACTATGTGGTCAGGCTGACTTTGAACTTCCATAGTACAGGCTGCCTCAGACTTGCTGCAGGCCTCCTACCTCAGCCTCCCCAGTGCTGGGATTATATCTGTGCACCACCACTTTTTGTGTGTGTGTGGTTTTTGTGGTACCAGAGATCTGAACCAAGGGTCTTCTCACTGAGCTACATCCCCAGCCCTTTTGTATTTTGAGACGGGTCTCGCTAAGTTACTAGATTGCCCAGCCTATAAATTTTCCTCTATTAAAATGCAGTCTTTAAAACATACATTCATAGTTGTACTGCATTTGTTTATCCCAAAATAATAACTTCCGGAAAAAGAAATATCAAGAAATTGAAATGAGACCTCCTAACTTCCTGTGTGTGTGGCCTGATCACCTCCGCCTGTCACAGGGAACTGAGAACTGTTATCTGTCAGGTAGATTTCTTTAGTGACGGCCTTGAATTATATTTATTTGCTACTGTGATGCTTACTTAGCTCTTTTCCTTCGTGATGCTTTACAATATTAATAAATCCTTTCCTCGACCCTCTGGGTTAAAGAGATGACATGAGTAATGATTGGTCGTTATTCATATGTGGTATAGAAGTTGGGCTTTTTAAAATATTAAGTGACTTGTTAAAGTTTAAAAGCTGAACGGTCACAGCCTTCATGCAAAACTGAACGTTGACCTGTTTTCCTAGAGCACTGATAGTGTTTAAGAAAACTCGTTTTTATTTAAAAATCAGATTTCCATAGCATGAAGTAGAATCCAAATTTTATGCAAGTTTTTAAGGTAAAACAGGAAGCTTGAAGCAGACTCAGCCTGTCATGAGATCGGCCCAGGGACACCTGCAGGGCCAGGGACAAGCCGGTGACCTTCCACCCTCCAGAGGTCTCAGGAAATCGGGGTGTGACGGAAGGGGAACCCTTCAGCCCCTGCCTCTGGCTCTGCTCCAGGTGCTAGAAGCCATGGAAAGAGGAGAAACACTGTCTCGTGCATCTGAACTGTGCTTTCATCCCATGCAAATGACCAGTGCAGCTCGTGCCAGGCCTTGGGCCCCGCTCCAGGAACAGCCGAGAGGACCACACAGTGGTCAGGCCGCCCCCACCTGGGTGCCCAAGAGAGACCCCTGTCCCGACCCGGTGCTGGGCAGGGTGGTGCTGTAATCAGGCAGTGAGGGCATCTACACACCCAGGTCATCTCTGAAGCATTTCATGGTGGGGTGATTAATCTGTAACTTATCTTCTACAGAGATCAATTTAGTTTTCTCTCCTCCTTTTTTATCCGCCGTCAGCAGTTCTGTCAATAACCCTCTGCACCCCCTCCACGGTGGTATTTAATACAGAACCTTCCCATCGATTTCGGCCTCCTCACTCCGGCTTCACATTTTTTTTATTGTTTGAGGATATTGCCTTCCATGGTGAATCTAATCTTATGCTCCCTGCATCATTACCTTTTGCAATTAAATTGGAGACTGTTTGCCATTTATAATCATTAGCAGGGCCCCCGGGAGGTGGGGAGTGGGCAGTTCTGTGGCGTCTGGGGACTGAACAAGGCAGAGGGGACGGCCTCCCCGTTCACCTCCTTGTCCTGCAGCTCTTGGTGGCTGAGGACACAGAGAGAGGGCGCCTGGATACAGGTATCCCTCAAAGATGGACTCCAGGGGACACCATCCTCCTGACAGCATTCACACACAGCAGCGTCTCTTTGAAAGGACAGATGTGTTTCGGGGACACGGCCTTGTTAGACATTTTCTGACCAGAATTTGAAACGGGAGACGTTCCTTGTCCTAAGCCCCTTTCCCCGACGCAGTCCTGTCTGGATTCTCTCTCTTTTGTCACTTGTCTTTTTGCTTTTTTAGTAGGGTCCTTTGCAGAGCAGTGCTTTTGCATCTTTTCAAAGCAGACTTTAGTGTGTGGAATGGTTTGAGGTTCTCAGCAGAACTGAGTGTGTCGTGTGGTGATTTCCTCTCCCCATGCCCACAGCACAGCCGCCCGTTCCTCCTTCCCTGCCGTCCCAGTGAGGCCCAGTGTCACAGCGGTGAGCTGTGTGGACTCCACCCTGTCCCAGCGCATCCTGGAATCCCAGGGACTGGGCCTTGTTAGACCAGCTTTCCCTTTGGAGCCAGGAGCGCTCGGCATCCTCTGGGTCTCCGGCCCTCCCCTCATTCTCTTCTGCAGCCGGAGGGCATCTCGCTCGCTGTGAGGGTCTCGGTCCCTCCTGCCACTGCCCTCCTGTGCTTTCTCGGAGTGGTCTCTCATGTCACATGGCAGTCTGTGATCTGTGGGGGTAGGTAGAAGGTCTCTGGAGACTCCGGTGACACTGTCCAGCAGGGTGCCAGGCCTCTTCCTGGCCAGGCAAGCATGGAAGTCCAGGGTTCCCGCATGGCCCTCACCGTCTCCAGTGAACAGGGACAGACTTCCTGTGTGTTGCCAGGAGCAGAGCTGTTATGAGGTTTTTCTCTCTTGCTGACTGCTGTGTCCTGAGACAGCGGCTCTCCCACCCTGGGCTTTTCAGGGTCCACGCTGTTGACTTTCATGGTTGTTGCTTCTGCTGCTCTTGAGTCTGGGCTGAACAAGGCAGAGGGAGAATCCAGGTTCAGCCACGTGGATCCTTGTACCCCAGGACCCTTGCTCATCTGGCTCTTCCTCCTCCCCTCAGAATGGTCTTGTGTGTTATGTGTGTCGCCTAAGTTTTTTGTCCGTAGTGGCAGGAACAGAGAGATGGGTGTCCACACCACGTACTGAGTAGCAGGCGTCTCTGAAGGGCACTATTTCTCTTCTTGTCCTCTCTCCCATTTTGCTAGTGTCTAAGACCCTGATGATGTGGAAACTCTGGTGTAAGCAGAGAAAAGGCTCATGCATGTGGGTGTCCTCACTGGGTCCTCAGCTGGTCCCCAGTGGGCCCTTGATACACACCTGCTGAATGGATGGGTGGGTGGATGTATGGATGGATGGGTGAGTTGGTGAGTAAATGGGGGGACAGATGGGCATGATTCATGCATGGATGTAGAGAATCACGTGTGCATGGGTGGTGTATGGATGGATCCATGGGTACATGGATGTCTTAGTCATTTTCCTTATCAGCGAGACACGGCACCCGATCCCCACAACGTAAAGGAAGAGAGCTTTACTTTGGCTCAGCTTGCGGAGGTTTTAGTCCATAGTCAGCTGGCTCCACCACAGGGTGGCATTGTGGAAGGACCTGAGCAGAGGAGAGCTGCTCATCTTGTGGCATCCAGGGAGCAGAGAGAGAAGGAAGGAACCAGTAAGGGAGACTCACCTTACCCATCCATGCCCGCAGTGACCCATATCTTCTGACTGGGGTCCTCCTCTGAACAGCGAGCTAGCCGTAGTGTCCACAAGCCCGCCTTTGAGTGCATGTGGCTTTGGGGGGACATCCAGATACAAACCATGGCAGTGGACGTGTGAGTAGATGCCTGGTGGATGGATAGACAGGTGGGTGAGGGACGGAGGCACATGTGTATGGGTGGATAGGTGCATGTATGTGTGGAGAGACAGATGCATGCATGTGTGTGGTGACCGGATGACTGCTGTCACTCACCAGGATCCCAGTGCCATGTGCGTACAGAGGAACGGCATCGAGGTACCAGAAAGCCTTCTGTTGGCTTAGTGATGAGGTGGCCGTCCCCAAAGCCAGCAGGTGACAATGGGATCCCAGCTCAGCTGTGAAAGACGCTGTGCGCTGCCATTGCTGCTGCGCTTTTCTTCGTGAAAGGTGTTTTTCCCGTGCAAAGAATCGACCATGTTAGGCCACCTCTTGGGCAGCTCTCGCGTGTCTGGTTGGCGTCCCAGAAATAAGTTTTGTATCCGAGTCTATCTTGGGAAAAACGTGTGCATCTGCATGCGCAGCCCGCCCAGGTGTGCATGGGACGAGGTTACCCACTCGTGGGTCTGGGAGGCAGAGGTTTAGTGCTGTTTTGCCTACAAGTTGAGTCTTTTTTTTTTTTTTTTCCAATTAAACTAAAGAAAAGTGAAAGTGACAGTGAATTCTCTCCCGGGGTTTCTGAGTATGGGAAGACTCCTGCTGTCCAGGAGGAGCTGCCTGCTTCAGTACAGCTCTGCACATGCCTTCCAGGGGCCCAGCACCCTCAAAGACATGTGGCGATCCCAGCCCTGCAGTCTGTGTGTCCCACGTGACTGGATATGCAGTGCCACCCGCCTGACCCTGGGCCTGTGGCCCCACAGGACCCACCTCTGCCCTTTCTCCAGAATGAGGACAGCCGGGGTCCTGCCATGTGAGCCCGCTCCTCGCTGGATACTTTCCTCTGATGTCCTCAAAGTAGCAGCAGGCCTCGAGGACGCTGCAGGGACCTACACTTCCACTGCTCACTCTGTGTCTGATCAGAGATGCTGCGTACAGCGCGTATTTCAGACGACAGCGTCAGCCTGCCTCGTGGCCAGGCCCTCATGCTCTCTCCCATGTGCCCGGTGTCACTTGCCCACCTGACGTGTATTACCTCACTGAGTCCTTGTGACCCTGCATGGCCGTACACATGAATTACAGGAGAGGAGACCAAGCCTCGGAGGCACTCGAGTCACTCGGAGGCAGAGCCGGGTCAGGTGCAGGGTGTTTCTGTTCAAAGCTGGCACTGGAATTCCCAGCCGGAGAGGCAAGGTTGATTCCTGGAGGGGTCATTTCCAACCTGGCCTTCAAAGGGTGGTAGGTAAGATACATCTATTTGACTGCAAGCTACAAGAAATGACTTAAACAACAAGGAAGTTTTATTATCTGCTGTCACAAAAAACATGCAGTGATTCCAGGGTGATTAGTTCAGTTTCTCCACAGCATCATCAAGGACTTCTGTACTTTGTTCCTTTCTACTCTGCCATTATGACCACAAAGTGGCTACAGCCGCTCCAGTCATCACATCCAGATTCCCACAGCACCAAGCAAGAGAAAGCTGGTTTCTGTGTGCATTTCTCTTTGGAAGGAAATCCCTTCCCAGAAGGGCCTCTCTCCAGCAAGGACAGGAAGCGGTTCAGTAGGGTGGTCACAGCTTTCGTGTAAGTGCACCCCTGTCTCCCCACAGCTCGTAGTTGGGGTGCACCTGCGAGGTGCTTCATGCCTTCGCACTTAGCACTGCAGCCCTGACATTTGTCACCTTCTGCTGTGGCTTCCTCTGCTGGCCTCGCTGGGCCTGGCCCAACTGTCCGGTGCGCAGGAGTCTGTTGTGGGTGCAGCCCCGTGGCTCCTGGCTGCTCTCCTCTCAGCTTGGTGGCCCCCGACAGCAGCAAGGACAGCTTTTGTCTTTGGAAGCCTCGTGCCAGGGCTCTTCTGACGAGCGCGATGTGCACTGCTTGAGGGGACCCAGGTCACAGCACTGCGCCCACGAGGAGCTGCGTCCTCTTTTCCCGCCTGGCGTCTGCGCATCCTGTCTGAAGACGTTTGTGGGGCACCTTTCATCATCCTGCCCGGACCGGGGAAACACTGAATATTTCTCTTCAATGCTGCAAACTGGATGACTGCTTGTGTGGTGCCCTGTGGAGTCCTTGCTGCGTTCTGTCACCCCCGAGTCACTAGAAAACCCAAAAATGTGGTTGATGAACCTTATGACTAACCCCTCAGAAATGCGTGTGAAATCCCTCTCACATTTTTATTAAACCGTACCTTCCAGAGTGCGGACCTGCAGGGAGAGTTCCCCTTGCTTGGGGGCAGGTACATTCCTGGATGACCAGTGGAGTCAGGAGCGAGGCCCTGTGTCTGTGTCTGCCTCTTGCTGACTCTGTGATCCGGGGTGCAACGCTGTCCCTCTCAGGTCTGGTCTTCCACCTGTAAAGTAAGGAGGGACAGAGCCCATCACTGAGTAGCCTCCTGTACCTCCAGTGTCCTGTCTGCCTCGCAGTGCCTCTCATGACCTCACAGGTGGTCACAAGTCACCTGTTTCTTGCAGCCTAATACTCGGGGCTGCTCCAGACCCTGGGCCACCTCTGCCAGTTCCCCTTGTGAAGTCTTAGAGGTCTCGGGGTCTGTGGTCAGAAACACCTGCTTCTGGGTCCCTGCTGTGGGTGCAGGGCACAGCCCTGCTCTTGAGTGGCTGGATGCAGGCTCCGTTTCCCTGTTCCTCGCTGGCTATTGGCCCAAGATGCCCCGTCCCCTCCTCCTGCCCTGAGGGCCTCTGTGGAGTGGCTTTGTCACAGCCAGCAAGACAGGGTGAGCGTCGTAAACATGTGGTCTCGGAGCTGCTCAGGGAGGGGCTGTCCTGGCCACCGTGCCTGGTGGGGTACTGAGGGCCGTGCTGTCCTCTGCTTCCCTGGTTGCCTCAGTCTCTGGGTGCTCCAGGCAGAGCTTGGCTTGGCCGATTTGATGTCACGAGGGTGTCTGCACAGAGCCCGGCCAGCGGAGAGCACGGGATTATAGTGACGCTGGGGACCTGGAGGCCCATCCTCCTGTGGGGTTCAGTAGGGACTCCTGTGCTCAACAAGAAGTTGATTAGAACCCAGTGCTGACCAGTTAGAAAACACGACCAGCCTTTTCCTCATTCCTGCACGGTCGTCTTATATTTGCAGCACATCCATGTTCATCGAGAGTAATAACTGTCCGGATAGCCGTGACTCCTCACAAACTGAAACAGCACCTGCAAACACTCCTTGACTTTTTTTTAACAAGGAGGGATACTACAGAGATGTCTCTGTATTGTAAAGCGTGGAGGTTAAAGGATTGACCCAACTCTAAGTTGCAAAGTTTAAAGCCAAGATCAGCTACCCTGTGTCTCCAAGAAGTGTATTTCAGTCCTTTTTAGCTCTTGACACAATGTTGCCCTGGTTCTCTGTCCCATTGCGGCTGCAGTGAGGGTTTGTTCGCTGTCTCTCGCTGGCTTCCTGTCTCCTTGTGGCTCGTGGCCTGGGTGCAGTGAGCTTCCCACTGCCGTGTTCCCCTCCCTGCACACTCAGCACCGTTCCTGCTGGACTCCAGGGAGGAGCTCAGCCTCTTCTGTGGGGCCTGCAATTGTCTTGCACTGCTGTCCAGCCCTGGTCCACAAGCAGCTGCTGCTGTGTGTCCTGTCCCACCAGTGAAAACACTGGCCCACAGACGCTCCCTGAGCACCCAGCTAGGCTCTGGGTGCTGCTTGCTGCCTGTGTGCTGGGGGTTATGGTCTCTGTGCCACCACAGCCACTCCTGCTGTACCTCTCAGTGCCACGTGCATCCCCAGCGTGTCCTCAGTGTGTCCCACACCGGGGCTGTGCTCTCTGTGTCCCCAGGTCTGCCCCCGCCCCACTTCTTCCTGTTTGTTATAGCGACCTCGTGATTTCTTTCCAGAGAGCCCCATCCCTTCCATTCCGCACTGCCGCCAACACCCTCGGTGCTGCGGCTTCCAGCCGGACTCCCCCCAACCCGCCTTTGGCTGCTGGCACCCAAGGCCCAGTCCAGACACTTGGGCTGTCCTCACCTTCCCAGCATCTGGGGTGCATGGCCAGTGGCTTCCCACAGGGCCCCATGTAGCCTGCTCTGAGAGCTTGAATAAAGTGATGGGCACTAGCGATGCCCTGAGGAGCCTGAGAGGGGGCACAGAGCGCGTCACCCTCTGGACCCTCTGCTGTTTGAAGTCACTGTGTGAGGTACTCAGACCTGAAACAGGCCAGCACAGCCAGTGTGACAGGCCTTGTGTGAGAGATCCCAGGTGGGTGAGAATGAATTATCAGGAGGGAGCACTCTTCCCAGGCCTCTGGGGTCTGGTAACTCCAGGGGAGGGTCTCAGGGCCCTCCAGCACGGGCTGGAAGAGGAAGTACATTGGAAACAGTATTTGATTAAGCAAACTGTGTTAGTCCCTTTGTTACCCCAAACTGGTCATGTGGACTCTTTGTGCCTGTCTTGGGGAAACCAGATGTTTGCGTTATTTCATATTGTTTTCTTCAAGTTTGAGTGATTGTCTCTAATCGCACGCTTGCAAGTCCTCTACAATAGAGGTCTATTAATACGGTTTCTATTTTTTGCTGTTCTCACTGTTATAGATTTTTTTCCCCCTCCAATAAAGTTCAGTCTTTTTCAGTGAGGAAAATGAAGAGCTTCCTAGTTATACTAATAATTATTTTCCATAAAATCTGAGAGCGTAGGATGTCCTTTTGAATTTTTTGTGAAGAGTTTGAATTTCTCTCCTTTTTCCCTTGACCATGCCCTGGTGTCCCCAGCTGGCCGGCTCTGCGTCCCTGGAAGGCAAGGGACAGCTGAGGTTCACCTCGGGACGCTGGAGCCCACATCACAACTGCACCCAGGTGGCCACTGCCAATGACACCACGCTCCGCGGCTGGGACACGCGCAGCATGAGGTCAGTGACCCTCCGCCCCACTTTCCCCTTCCCCTTCCCTAAGGGGACTCTGATGGCACCAGAGGTGACTGAGCCTGGGGCGCACGCAGTGGGTCTGCCTTCATCTCACCTGTGGGAGACCATCTTCACCCCGTCATGCGCGCTGCCTCCATGTGCAGGCCATGTGCCTCGGCGGACGGCGTGCTGTTCTGTGTGGCTGTCCCTGAGTTGGCCCCAGCTGGGGGTTAGCACTGCTCACAAGTGACACGGTGACGAGGACACTCTGTTGCCACACAGACCAGGTGTCACTTGCAGTCCCCCGGCGAAGTCTCCCTCACGGAGTCGTCCTTGACCGTTTCCAGGCTCTCAGGAGACATACCTGCGGGGCAGTCATATTTTGTCACTTAAGTAATTATCCGCAACCACCACAGTTCTAATGGAACAAACAAGAGCTATTTTTCTGTTCCAGTTGTGATTTTGATAGGCACAGGAGTGATGGTGGGATGTCCGTTGCTATGGCGACGGGCGCCCGCACAAGCTTTTTAAAGATGCAGTTTATCCCCTCAGCACACCATAATTGATCACTGAGCCGAAGAGACAGATACCGTGCAATAACTCGCATTGCTTCCAGGGTGGGGGCTCACCTTCAAATCTAGTTCCAAGGCCCCTCTGAAAATCCAGGGGCTAATAAATAAACAGTCATCAGTCCTGAGCCCGTGCAGCTCTGAACAAAGCAGGGATCGGCTTCCCTGCATTGCTGGCAGCCAAGTGGTACAGACCACGGCGCTGTCCCACGCAGGCCTAGGCCTCCTTGCCCTGTCTCCCGGCCTCTCTGCTCTTTGAAGGTTGTGACAAGAAAGCCGTATGCTGACTGACAGGCAGAAAACAGGTACATGCGGCCTTCATTGGTAACACCCTGCGGTGACCTGGTTCGCCAGGCGGCCTGGGACAAGGCGCTGGCTCCCGCAGGGTGTGGGTCCGCAGGAGGGAGCGGCCTCGCCCCCCGCCCCTTCTCCTGTGACCGTGGCTGTCACCTGCGTGGGAGGTTTCATCTAGAAGATGTTAGGGTTCGTGTCAGAACAGGCAGCTGACCTTCTGGCTGTAATCAGCGCGTGTACGCCTGGGGATGTGCCTCGGCTTCAGTTCCATACCTTTTGCTTGTTTCCCTTGAGAGATCTTTAAGTTTCGGGGTCTCTTATTTTAGTGAAGAAGATATTAAGGCATTGAAAAGGTAGAGGATATAAAAGCCAGTCCAAGATTTAACCTGTCTTCTGGGAGGGAGGTCCAGCGTGGGGAAATGACAGGGTCGGCTCATCTTTGCTGGAGAGCAGGGCCCCAGGTGGTGTCGCTTCCGATACTCACGCAGGGGTCCGCTCTGCTCCTGGGGCACTAGAGCCACCTTACTGCCACAGAGGCCTCTGGCCCTGACACCCCATGCCCAGCCTGCCGCGAAGGACAGGAGTGCAGAGGGGACCCGGCGCCCACACGGGCACAGCCCAGGGAGACGGAGGCGTGCCCGGCGAGTAATGTGGGTGCTGCGCTGCGCTGGTTTTTCTTCCTCCCCAGCCAGATCTACTGTATCGAGAACGCCCATGGACAGCTGGTGCGTGACCTCGACTTCAATCCCAACAAGCAGTACTATTTAGCGAGCTGCGGGGATGACTGCAAGGTGAAGTTCTGGGACACCCGGAATGTCACGGAGCCCGTCAAGGCCCTGGAGGAGCACTCCCACTGGTACAGTGACGCGTCTGCGTGCGCACTAGGGAAGCGGGGTTGTGTAATTTATTTTGCTAATTACTTTACCATTTGGAAAGGCACACACCAGCTTCGTTTGTGCTGCCATGAATCATTCAATCAACCCAGTTTTATTTTTCCTAAAGAAACACTAATTCTGAATCCGAATGTGATTTGTAAGCGCAGGAAAAGAAGAAAAACATTAGATTCTGTTTTCTCTGGAAACAGTGCCGGTTCAAGTATGCAAAAATAAATGCGCACAGATGTTCATGCAGCATTGTTTGCAGTGCCTGAAAACTGGAAGCGACCCAAATGTCCATCAATAGGGGATGGGTTTGAGTAAATTAGGTGACATCTGTGCCGCAGAGATGATGCCGCTATCAGGAAGGGTGAAGGGCCCCTGTGTGGATGAATGTGGAAACACTGGGACCATTCATTCCTCCGAAACATTATCTCAGTGTTTACCCCGTGCTGGGTACTTTTTGCTTAGTGAGACAAAGGACCACGAGGTAGAATAGCACGTAAGGGATGCGTCCTTTTTTATGGAATAAGGTGTACCCGCGCGCGTGTGTGCGCACGCAGGTACACGGTGGTGAAGCCCGGAAGAGGAGGAAGAAGAGCAGCCGGCTCTCATCGGTCCCTCCCTGGCAGCAGGGGCACCACATGGTGGCCCGCTCCTTCCATGGCCCTGAGGACTCACGCACAGTTCTGAGAACGCAGAGGACGGCTGTGTGGCCCTGCAGGTGCCGCCCCCGCCCGCAGGGCCCACTGAGGCCTTGGCGCAGTGAGGAGGCTGAGCTTGCCAGGCTCAAGCCAGCGTGCCCCCGTGAGACACCACGGTGCTGTGGGGCTTTGCTTGGCGCTCTGGTTGTTGCTCATCTGTATGCTCTCCCAGGAGAGCAGCTCTGTGAGGATCTGGAGCGCTGAGTGATGATTCCCCGGCCTGGACCTCGTGAGCTGACATTTATTCCTTTGTGTCCACTTGCTGGCACCTAAGGGAGTATTTGAGAGCAACCCATAGTAGGCCTGGCCCCCACTGCGGAGCCCCCGGCACCAGCCCTGACCTGTCGCTGGGCACCGGCTGCCCCTGGCGTGACCCCCGTTTGGCAGGGTCACCTCCTGGCAACTGTCTCTTGCAGGGTGTGGAGCGTCCGCTACAACCACTCCCACGACCAGCTGGTGCTCACCGGCAGCAGCGACAGCAGGGTCATCCTGTCCAACATGGTGTCCATCTCCTCGGAGCCCTTCGGCCACCTGGTGGACGACGACGATGCCAGCGACCCGGAGGAGCACCACGCAGAGGGGAAGTAAGGGCCACACGGCGCATGTGCTGCCCTGTCCCTGGGTGTCTGGGGGGCCTCCCTTCCTGGTGCAGTCTGGGTGGGGTGGGGGCCCAGGGATCCTGCAGGGGACGCACAGAACCCCCAGCCCACGGACCTGTGCCTCGCTCATGGCCGTCTCCCTTGGGTGGCAGGAGTGAGGAGCCGCTGCAGGACAGTGTCATCGCCACCTATGAGGAGCACGAGGACAGCGTGTACGCCGTGGACTGGTCCTCGGCTGACCCGTGGCTGTTTGCGTCCCTGAGTTATGACGGGAGGCTGGTCATCAACAGGGTCCCCAGGGCGCTCAAGTACCACATCCTGCTCTAGCTTTCTCCGTGGCATCCTGTCTACCCTGGCAGAGCTGCAGAGCTACAGCCACAGCAGCGACTCCTTGGCAGATCTGTCCCACTCCCGAGAGCTGACAGCAGCCCTGTGGGTGACTTGGACCAGCTTCTGCCCACAGCCACTGCTCGCTGTCTGCTCTGCCTCACTTTCCCCCTGCCATGTTAACTCGTCTTTCTCCTGAGAGTACAAAGGAAATAAAGTGAGCAGAACCTCTGCAGGCTCCGGCTCTGTCTTTCAGGCCTCTGCCCTCCCCGATGTGGCCTCACCTGTCCCCCCAAGGAGAGACGCAGTGACTTGGTGCCCTCTCTGTGTCACCGTCCCAGGTAGGGCTAAGAGCCGAGAGCGGGGCTGTATTGGGGCCGGGTCTGGCCGTGGTGCAGCTCTTGCTCGGGCTCCGGCCTGCCCCAGGGTCTGTGCGTCATCGCGGTCGTGCCAGGCTCTCTGCTGTCCCCTGGGTCAGGACCTGGCCGGCTCCTCCCAGCCCACCGTTGCATACACTCACCCTGCCGCCAGCCCGCTCCTCTGGAGCACCGGGCCTGCTCACATAGCTTTGTCCATGGTCCTTCTGTGAGTCCCGGTTTGCGCTCGCCTGGTGCCCAGCCCACCCGGATAAGCCGCCGGGAATGTGAGTGTGGGTACCCACCTGGCCAGGTGTCCAGCCGGTGCTGCTTCTCCACTCGATGCCTCAGTTTCCCCAGCTGTAGGGAGCTGGCGGGGCCCCAACAGCTCTAGGGTTGATGCTCCTACTGCTACCTGTCTGAAACCCGGAGTTGTCATTCCTCTGGTGCTGCTCCACCTGGGACAGGAGAGGAAGGCCGCAGGTGTCCCCTTCGATTTGTCAGAGGAAGGGGACACTCGCTCATCTGTGCAGGCAGTGTGATAACCTGTGTCCTGTCTCAGTGCTGGGGACCAAACCCAGGGCCTTGGGGAGTTACGCCCCCAGGCTGGAAGTAGATTCATGACCCGCTACTGCCTTTCAAACATGGGACAGTGTTGTCCTTGCCCTTGATGGCCGGTGTCTCCGCTTCGAAGACCGGGAGGCCATGTGACCAATGGCATTGTGCAGGCTCTGAGCTCCAGGCCGGCCGCAGCCCCGTGTCTCTACTGTGGGATGCATCTCCTGTGCTCTCACTTGAGGTGACAGAGACAGAAGCCAGGTGAGGACATAGCTCATGTGGTGACCTGTGTGCCGGATTCCCAGCATGCTCAGTGACACCGTGGGCCGAGTTCTTGTACTTCCTCTGTGCAGGGCTGGCCCGGGCAGCCAGGGCCTCCTAAAGAGCACCCTCTTCCAAGCACCGCAGCCCTGGTGCAGGCAGGGAGGGGTGGTGATACTGGCCATGTTGCTGGGACCTGGGAAGGAGGTGAGGTCTCACTGGGCCATCAGCCATGAGGTTGTCATCAAACAGGCAAAGGCCACTGTGCCGTGCTGGTCCCCATGTCTGAGAACCCCATCTGCCCCACCTGGGTGAGGGCTCTTGGAGCCTGGGAACCGAATGACTCCAGCATGGTGACCCTGTGGACGCCCGCAGTGCCCCGCCTCTCCCTCTAAAGCCCCAATCTTACTTGTCCGCTGCTCTGGACCTCACTGGGCCAGGTTCTTCCCATACGCAGGGAAAGCCCCTTGGTTTGGGGGCTGCAGGGGACCCCATGGCATCTACACCAGTCCTAAGGACAGGAAGCCACTCCAGGATGTCCTTGTCACTCCCAAGCAAGGGGCATCTGTGCTCCTGGCCCTGGGCCCACCAGCGTGTGGCCCAGAGCCCCTTCTGGCCCTGCCAGCAATGGTGTGAAGCCTGTGGTTTCCAGGCATCTGGTGTGAGCTCCCTCCCCAGGAGCAGGAGTGGCACCTGGCTGAGCACCCCATTACCAGATCCCCTGCTCAGCCTGCGCTCTGTGCCCTAGTCCTGGCCTAGCCTGGCCCCCTCTTCCAGCCCTGACTCTCCCTGCACCCTGGTCTCCTTCCTGCTGGGTGTCACTCTGCCAGGCCTGCATGCTCACTCTGTACCTGGAGCCCCTGCCTCCTGATGGCCACACTCAGGTCTCCCCACCTGCCAGCTCTCATAGCAGCTGCCTGATGCCCTCCAGGTCTGTCCACAAAGGGAACATTAGTTACAGGCATAGTCCTTGCCTGCACTTCCTGAGTCCCAGAGCTCACAGCATGGGACTTGCTCACTGGGGCCTGGGTTCCACTCAGGCCACTGAGCCTAAATGTCTTTGCCCTCTGTGAGAAGCAGCCACAGCGTGAGCCCAGAGCAACCCTGAGCCACTGTCATGGAAGGACTAAGTGGGCGATGTGGTCACTCCCAGATCTAGATGGTGCTGATTCCAAGAGCCCCTCCAGCATCCAACCCTGCTGCCTGTGGTCACTGGAGCACACCCTCTGCATGGATCTGGGGGTCTTTGCTCCCTCTTGTACCCCTCACCTTCCCTGACCTCATGCCAGCCATTCCTGGGCTCTGCAGCTTGGGGCCCTGAGCCTGTCACACCTTCCCGAACATTCCTTCTGTCCCTCAGCCCACTCTCTTCCTCTGTGGCTCACACTTGGCCGCTGAACAGCTTCCAGGGGCTCCACATGTGGTTTGCTACCTCAGGGAGTCACAGCCTTTCCCACAAATGTCTATGGAGTTGTTATAAGGACTTGTCATCCCAGCATGCTGGGAGGCTGAGGCAGGAGGATCACAATTTTGAGCCCAGTTTGGGTCACATAGTGCTTAAATGAAAGAGTATCTTAAAAAAAAAAAAAAAAAGCTGGGGACATAGCTCTGTGGGAAGCCCTGGGTTCAGTTTTCAGTACCAAAAAGCAACAACAACAAAAATCAGAGACAGGCACTCTTGGGTAGGAGGACCCAGACCTGGTGTTAGGAGTGGACACAGGAAGAGGGTCTGCCTCCAGGGTCCATATGGACTCTCTAAAGTGGGGAGCTTGGTCTGGGAACTGAGGCAGAGCGGGGGTTCCCTTTCTTGCTGTGTGCACTGTTCCCTCTGACTTGTCTTTTCTACTTGACTTGTCTTTCTTGCCTTAGTTTACATTCACAGGAGCCTTCCTTGGCCACTGTTCCAAAGCAGATTTTCCTTGTTATTCTCTCTCCTATTTCCCACCCTAGAACTTAGCAGTTAGGGGAGTAAATGTTAATGTTACAGCTCATTCTCCCACTTGACTATAAATGTCACAAGGGCAGGAAGCTTGTCCTCTGTTCATCGTTGTGCCCTGAGCACCTAGCTCGGCATGGCACATGGGTGCTCACAAGCTGTATTGTGTGGATGGATCGATAGTGGGTAGGTGTGCATGGGTTGTTAAATTAAGGAGTGGGTGGATGGATGGATAGATGAATGGAAGGATAGGTGAATAGATGGATGGGTGGGTGGGTGGGTGAATGGATGGTTAGATTCATGGAGGCATGGATGGATGGTTGGGTAGATGTGTGGATGGATGAATGCATGGATGGATGGGTGGATGGACAAGTGGATGGATAAATTCATGAATGCTTGGATGGGTGGGTGATTGCATGGATGGATGGATGGATGGGTGAAAGGATGGATGAGTAGTGGTTAAGTGGATGGATAGATGATGGACAAGTGGATAAAAAGATTCATGGATGGATGGATGGGTAGATGGATAGGTGAATGGATGGATGCATGGATGGATGGGTGGTGGGTAGCTGTTGATAAGCTGAGCAAATGAGATGGATGGGTAGCTGCATGTAAATACATTTTGAGAAATTTCTGAGCCAGATTTAAAAATTTTTAAAAATGAAAACTATCAATGAAATGAAATAAGCCACAATTCAGTGAGTCAGTTGCAAACCCTAGAACTTCTGTTGCCTGTGGCTGGGCTCTGTGGAGCATTCTGCAGCAGGAGGACCTCTCCACTGATGTGAGATTCTTAGAGGTGCAGTGCAGGTGGCTGATGTGCTGGCGCATGTCCCAGGAAGTCAGGCCTGCAGATGCTATCAGAGGCCAAAGGAGGGACCAGCAAGCCCAGGGCATTTCCAGAGCTGGGTTCTTTCTTTCTGTAGTGCTTGCAGAAATCTATAGAAAACTCCAGGAAATAACCCAAAGCCCCTCGTCTATCTGCAGATAAAATACTTGATGCTAAATGAATGGATGGATAATTACAGGGACTGCCTGCAACCTGAGCTCCTGTGAAATATGTGAGAATTGGAAGCTTAATTACTTTGAAAGATTGAAAGCCATAAACTGGATTATTTACAAACAAGAGCCTTGTCAAGATATTTTGCACTGCAAATGGAGACTTGCTGGTAGAAAGTGGTACTAGAATGCCGTTTCCTAAGAACTGACAGAGAACCCCAACAACACGACTGCCCCTGGAGCCATCTCCAGCCCTGCAGTTAGAGCGGTCTGCGCTTCCGGTCTGGGAGCTGGGGCGAGGACTGTGAAGGCCTGTTGCTGGGCTCGGTGTCCTACGGGGACCTAGCACACAGCCCGTGAACCTGTGGTGTGACCACCTGCCTTGCCCCACGCGCCCCCATTTGTGGTCCCTAACAGACATGTGCTGGCCCTGCAGGGTCTCTTCTGTGCAGCATCTCTTCTCTTCTTCCTCTGCCCTCAGTTTCTGGACTGTTGCCCCTGGGGCCACTTGGGCCTCTTTTGTGACTGCACCTCCAATCCAGCTGTGTCTCTTTTTTCAGCCTCCTTGGGAGGAAAGAGCCCTGTTTTCTGTGGGTGCATAGGCTAACCAACTCTGTGATGCCTGTGCAGCCCCAGCTCTCTCGAGTCACAGTTAAACGCCACCTTTCTGGCCTGGCAGTCAAGGCACTCAAGGGAGCTTCCATCGCCCCAGCTTTGTGCCCTTGACCTGCCGCCTCCAGTGCAAGGATGGGGGTTGTCCTCAGCCTGCCCTTGTAAGGATCGCTAGGCACTGACAGGAATCGGTAAATTGGTAATCCTGTGACCTGGCTGTGTGGCCCAGAGTGAATCGATCAAACACACATTCCTTGAGCTGCCATCTTGCTGTGTCCCTGAATGCGGAGCACTTGGGGCAGTGCGGCCTTACCCGAGCCTGTGGTTCTCAGCCTCCTGTCCCCACCAGAGGCCAGAGGGGGACAGAGCTGTGTGTCTTGGTGCCGATTTCCAGTGAGGGCCCAGGGAAGGTGGCTGAGCGAGTCTGCACGGGGGCCCCCACAGGAAGAGGAGCCAGGCCCCCTCTCCAAGGTTTTGGTGAGTAACAGGGAGCAGCAGCCATGG